CTTCAGTCAGTAAGGAAAGACTATATTGCAGTAACCAACTGTACCTAGAGTCGAAGCAAGACTACAAAGGTCAAGTAAGTAACTACAAGTTAGAGATAGATGTAACGAAGTACTCACTCTTCAGTCAGTAAGGAAAGACTGAAGAGGGAGGACACAATCTGAAGTCCTTATATACTACAGAGAAGTGTCCATGACTAATCGAAGAGTGGTTAGTCACATGTACCATAGTGCGATGAATAATACAATGGTGAAAGAATTGCGACGTATCGCACCATAGGATGAGTAAGAGATGAGTAAGGCATAGACCTGTCTAGACCGTTCTGGAGTAGTACAGATTGTCCTAGACAGTACCAGAAGAGTCCGGAAGCATAGCTATAGTACACGAGCAGAGAGTCCCAAATATGGTAACATACTACATAAGCGACTACAGCTAAGCGCTAGGAGACGCATAGCCTCGTGTAGTCCGGACCGGATAAGTCCAAGTTCAACAGAGGTCGACCCTGCAGCTTGCACGAAGGAAAGGGGCAGATGGCAAAGGAACACCCGGTGCTAAGAACTGCAGCGTTGAGTCGGATGAGGCGAATGGCAGGGGGAAGAGAAGCGGAAATGCGATGAGAGCGATGAGGAAGGCGATAGGGCGGACGCAACGCAGTACTCCATTCGACGGCGCGCGCTCTTTCACGCAACGTCTACACTTGTTCGATCAACTGCTCGACCCCTGTCCTACTCAATGAAGGTGCCCTCATCGGAACCCTCTCAGCCGCATCTGCTGTTCATCCCAGAGGAAGGCGATGACTTTCGTCCTTCCCAGCAAACAGCTGCCGCCTCTGCTATCGGACCTATCACTGTTACATTCCGAAGGCGCTCCAATCAATTCGTATCGCACTCGCAGACGTGACCTCCCTTTTATCCACACCCCCTTCTAGCTAACGACCCTTCCCTCGACAAGGCGCTCAATGCCCATGCACGTTACCATCTCCCATAGAGGAGGCTGTCTATGTGGCGATGATGCAAGACACGACAGACCTCCCCGAGAACGCGCAGAACACGTGTCTCATTTCTTCGTTCAACGGGGTCGAACAGCAGCGGCATCCAGGCTGCACGAGGAACGATGACTCCTCGCGCTCGATGCAAGGGCCTTGATGGCTTCGTCTTCACCGCGGGAGAGGAGCGTATATGAGTGTATATGGGTGAGAACTGTCTGCAGGCCATGATATGTGAGTGCTATTCTAGGACAATATAAGCGCGCACGAGCATGGCGTTGGATGGTATCAGACATACATACTTATCCCATTCTTTGAATGGGGTGCTTGTTTGCATAGATTTCTTATAGTCGTGGAGTCGCATACATTGAGCTCGATCGACGTAAGTCCAGCTGGCAACATATGGCAAGCTTCAGAGTCATGGCGGCACTTAATCATGTCGGGTCCTGCCAGTCCGGCACCCTGGCTGTTTACAACTACACTGGCACTGTCTGACAAGCTTCCATCCCTCAGAACATGAGGCTCAGATGCCATTGCGTCCGAAGGCCATAGCCTTCCTTGGAAACAAGGTTCACCACAGAGCCTTAGGGGCCCTGCTATGCGCATGAGTTTTCTGCAAGGCAAACAATATTATTGGGGCCTCTATGCCTGCAGCTGCCACCTCATTCCCCACTTCACTCGCTCAAGCATACTCCGAGGTGTTCTCATTAGTGACGACCGCAGGTCAGCAGACCATCAATTTGATTTAGTTCATGAGCAAAGAATTAACGTACTATGCTCAAAGCACGATAGGGTGGCACTACCCGGTGACATTGAGACAGAGCGGATAGAGACCATCTTGCAACGTACGCCAGGACGAAGTCAAGAACACGGCACTTATACTGAAGTGCTCGAGGATTATACAGCAGCTCAGCATCAAGCGGAGTTACAGGGAGCGGCCATACATTACAAGTATCAGGAATTATCGCCTGCGCTGACTCGCTGAATTTGCTTCAGAACACTTCGGAAATCATCAGCCTGGGTGATGCATCCCTTGAACAGAACTCTCCACACCTGCAGGTCAGACTGCTTGCAAGCATGCCATAATTACGTCCTGAGTTTTACATGCACGCAGGGCCCGGAGGAGTCTGCGAAGATATACGTGCGAGTCGAGAACAAGAGTGCGATGTTTGGTGCCGCAAACGTCGTCGAGCACTACAGCCATGGGATAGTGAAGACATGGAAAGATGAGATAGACTCTCTTGTTGTCTACGTATGTGAAATAGTACCCCATCCTCTATGTTCATCAACTGAGCAAAAATCGCTCCACTAGGCTGGTTTGTTTTTGGCCGTCCTTGTCGGGCATCTAGCCGGGGGTTCATGAACAAGCCGATCACATATCCGACACCTAGGGCATTTCTGGCGGACCAAGGTGCCGTCCTTGGATGCATCAACAACATTGAAGTCATCAATCAGGTGAATTTTCGCACAAGAGGTGTGCCGATACACTCGGCTGACTCATCAAGTCGGGCTGGTGCGTTCATTCATGCGTGGGGAAATGGAAAGATTGATCTGTACACGTACCTGTGCCATCTGCTAAGCCTGGGTTTCGAATTCATTACTAGCATAGAGAGCTCTTGCATTCCGCTCATCAAAGAGAGGAACAAACGCTGCCCGGAAGCGCGCCACTAACATTCGACATCCCGTTGTCGACGTAATACCTGGGGACACTTTTCTCAGCTGCACATGTCAACCAAAAGAAAAAACGCACCAAATGGGCACCGTGCTTGGTACACCGACTGTATATATATCATGTAGATTCAGATACTCACACGTAGTGTCTTCATGTTGCCAGCTTGTCCTTGACCTTCGACTTGTCCGATGTGATGCGCAGCATCAGCTCTAGATCCGACGTTCGATTGAGCCTCAACCAAACGCGACTCACCTATGGGGTTGAAGATGAGAAAACCGTCCCGTCTCTTTTGAATGCCAACCCAGACACGAAGGTCGCACCCAAAAGACGTTCATATGTGATGATCTATATTGTAGAAGCCGCCATGAGCTTCCTTGTCAGCCGAAGTATGTGACGCAGACACACACCATATTGTGCAAGGTAGTGGATCACCTGAGTGGACGACAGGGCCACCAGAACCTTCGAGTCTTCAGGCTCAGTCACATCTGAGTCGCACGGCCTGCATTCACACGGATCAACGATGCTCTCGACGGAATGATAGAGCGCTGACTTCGTAGACATAGCATGATTGAGAGGCAGCGTGGGTGGCACGCGCATACAGTCTCCTGGTAGGTCGATAGAAGTATGGGCAGGGCTACTCACCAAATCCGCTAGTGTGGTGTGGTCCTTACGACATACGACTGGGGGAAACGCACTCCTGTTTGCTCAGCCTGAGGAGTACGCTAGAGGTGCGCTTTGAGATTGGCAACGGAGAACGGTCAACTGTATTCCTGAAATGGAGAATACATGACTAAAAGAGACAAAGACAAGGAGATGATGTCCATGAGGTTATGACATGCCAGTGGGCACGACTGAGGCGTGTAGGGCATTGTTTGGCAACGCAGCGCGAGGGCGGTACTTACCGGCGACATCGAACGAATGGGCGAAGACGATGTCATGAAGATCGCTTGTAGCAGCAAGGGGCCAGTGAGGGCTGCGACCTTGCGTTGACTGCAAGGTGATGCAGCTGTGATAGTGAACTGCCGCAGTTTTATCGGATCGCCAGGCATCGACCGTCAGCCTACCGATATAGCTTCTGATAACTATCGAAACTCACCCGCAACCCCATCAACCTCAAATGAGCACTGGCACCCGAGAGCATGAGCCAGGGAGATGCAGGCATCTCGATGGGAGGTTTTCGTCGGATCAACGACAAGTCTGAGAAAAGCTAATGTGCATTAGAAGGCGGCACATCCTGACGGACGGGAGCCAGGCGGGTTTCCCGAATGGGCCCACTCAGCGGCTGGAAGTCTCAAAGAATGCACGAGCTTGAACATCGCGTGGAGTTGCAGCGGATCGTGGCACCAAATTGCTGCCAAGCGCTGCGGTGGCTGGTCGGTATGTGTTGGTGAGACTCAGGTACATCTAGTGCTGATATCCATTGCAGTTTTCTCGAAAGAGGCGAAGACAAGCCTGCAGCTGAAAAGCACCAGCTCAGGGATTGCGCCAGGGATCGGTTCGACACAGAACCCAACATCGGCGGTGACGAGCATTGGAGTGGCGTTACTCACAAGATCACATGAAGTGTGACGCCGCGCGCCTATGTAGCTGCGAGGGACGGGCATGGCACCTGTCAGCCTGAGAAAATGCTTTCATTCCTCCCAATATTAATGTAAAGTCCACTGCATGCCGTCTGCAGTCTACCAAGGGCGAGCTTCATGCGGAGCTCTCAAACTGCCCTACTACATGTGTTTGCCACAAGGTCCACGATCGCTGGCCGTCAGATATACCCGCATTCAAGGCCACCGCACTCCATCCCTCATCGCCCTCCACTACACCTCTCTCCCTGGCGCATCCGCAGGTGAGTATCCGTTGGTTCTATTGAGTGCCCGCACTAACGACCAGATTCAATCCTTTCAAGCACGATACAATGACACCGCCCGACATCGAGCCATCTTCGAGTCAGATGGGAGATGCCTCGGAATCTACACCTGGACAGCGCCAAGAGCGGGGGACATCCAACAAGGCCCATGACAGTGTCCCAGCCTCTTCACAGCAGGTAAAGGCAGAAGTGCTGGTACGTGAGGAATCAGTGTTGAATGATGAGGACCTCGCTAATCGGGTCGTCTTGTCGCAGAATACACAAGGCATCCGTGGCGTGAGCAGCACGCCGTTACCATGGAAATTACCCAATATAGAGGTAAGTCTGGCCTTACGCATATCGCGGAGCTCTGCTGAGACTGGTTCGCATATAGGATCTGAAGAAGGAATTTGCGGAAACCTACACGCAGGCCGACAAGGACAAGGCGCTATCGGAGACTGCCAAAGTCGTCAAGACGTATAGCGATGAGATGGTCAAGAGGTGGAACGAAGAGATTGACAACCTCCTCATATATGTACGTGACATGCGGCGCCGTATGAACTGGTCACTGAACATCGATCGCCACATCAGGCGGGTCTGTTTTCGTCCATCCTCACCGCGTTCAATGTCCAGTCGTATCTCCTCCTTCAACCCGCCACTCCCGACCCTACCATTGCCGTACTGCAGCAGATCTCACTACAGCTGAACAGCTTCTCTGTCAACCCTCCTGGCGCACTCGTCAACTCCACCCATCCTGTCACCCCCTTCGCGGCCGTCCAGACGTCCCTGGTCGAGTCATGGGCTGTCTGGCTGAACAGCCTGTGGTTCTCTGCGCTCATCTGCAGTCTCTCCTCCGCCTCCGTCGGCATCTTAGTCAAGCAATGGCTGCACGCGTACCAGGCTGGCATCTCAGGCGACTCGGTGGAATTCGCGTGAACTCGCCAATACCGGTTGAACCACCTGGAGAAGTGGCACGTTGCGGAGATCGTGGCGGTCCTCCCCGTCCTGCTCCAGATCTCCCTCTTCCTCTTCTTCTCTGGCCTCCTCATCCTACTCTGGCACTATCACTCGACCGTCGCCATCGTGGCAAGCGTTCTCATAGGCGTCGTCACATCGTCTGTGGTCGTGACGACGGTCATGCCCAGTATCTGGTACAATTGCTGCTACCTTTCCCCCCCACCTTTGCTACCTTTCCCCCCCACCTTTGCTATATTTCCGATCGTGCAACACACTAAGCCCATCGTGTTCCCGGTTTTCGTGTACGCGATCTGTTTTCCGTTCTATCTCCTTTTTTGGGGCCTTGCAAAATTCGCACTCCTTCCACATCGTGCTCGGTCATGGTTCGAGGACCTGGCTAACTCAATAAGCCAGGCGGTGTCCTACTTGCGCCTAGGGCAGCTACTCATATCATGGCGTGGCCTAGAGCAATACACCGTCCAGCACTCCTCCTTCAGCCTCGATCTCGACATGATGATCCATGCCTACTCCACCACCATAAATGTCAACCACCTTTCTGCCACAGCGGTGGCGATTCTCGCAGGCCAAGGTGCCAACACCGAAGCCATTGATAGATGCCTTCATAGGATCAGGGACATTAACCAGCGACACCTCGGCAGCGAAGATATCCTGGTGGACTCAGCGGACTTCTGGGCCAGCATGTTAATTCACGGGTTGGAGAAGGCTTCTATCCATGATCTCTATTTTCGAAGCGAATCCTGCCGTGACAACATGAAGTCTGGAGATTACGAAAGATTGCTCTCCGCTTTGGCTGCTACACTGGCAAATCCAGACTCAGGGACCAATGCGCACAGCCTGTCGCTATTGCTTTTGGACGAACTATTCACGTTCGTACCAGACGCTCTTGAGCTCATGCCATGGAAGGCGGTCCGCCATGGTGCGTGAGCAGATGTTTTACTCAACGATTTCTCAGCTGACTCACACAATCACAGTTGCAGCAGCGGTGGAGATGCAGCTGCGTCAGCTGCTGCACCCCTCGGATGGTGAACCAGCTCAAGAGCCTGATTGGGATACCGTCCTCTGGCTGAGGATACTGGTGCAGTGCTGTTTTGCGCCGGTCTCATCATGGACGCGGTCGGATGAGGAGACCGAGGTGTCGATGGCATGCATATTTGGGATAGGCATCCTCCAGAAGGGGTCAATCTCAAAGATCGCTGGAAAGCTGCGGGGCGGGATCCCTGTCAAGGCCATGCTGGAAGCTCTAGACATCATACTCACAAATCTGGGCAAGTCTGCGGATGCTCTGAGGGGCGCCCCTGGTGACTTTCTGGAGGTCGTAGGGGAACTAGTCGAATATGTCGAGCGCCAGGCTTCGGGAAAATCCTGGCCTTGGGATGATGACGATGTACAGGAGGCGTTGAAGAAGCTGAAGGACAGCTCCGAGAGATGCAAATCTCTGGACTAGGTGTCAGAGCTGAGGGGAGTATCCAGGCTTCCCCGCTGGACCTGAAGGTACGCCGCCGTTGCTTGACGCTCGAGCTGTCCCGATGCTGGCGGCTTTGCTTCCCTGTTGACGACGGCAGCCCGAGTCAGGCGCAACAGGTAAACACTCTGAAGGACATTGAGTCCGCACTGGGTACGAGGGTTTCTTCTCGTCCGAACGTCAACGTCACCCTCATATTCAATTGCTTGTACATGTCCCGCAATGGCGCGCACGCCGGCTAGATATTCGTCTACCATACACTTTTCGTCGACATCTTTTCATTCATATGGAAGGTTTCATCTATTCTCGTACAACGCCGCTGGGCCGCGCATATAGCATTTGATGCTCTCTATTTATTACAGTCGCCTCATGGTGGTACTACCGCCCACGTATTGTATGATATACGCGATGTCGTAGTTGCGTATGATTGACCTATGTTATGCACCTCGTAAATCGTCCCACTGTAACGTCTGACAATAAGCCTCAGGCAAGACCAAGGGCGTGTTCTGACGGATGTGCCAAAAACCTCAGCGACATGTGCCCCGAGGCGGTCCTTCATCCGTCACACAGCCAAGCATCCTCGCGGCATCCGCCGTCTCCCCGACCGTAACACACGAGCGTTCCCGGATGGAAGCTAAAACCGAGGTGTATAGATACACAAATACGATCGCATGTCATGGGGCACCATGCTACTACGTGGATAGCAGTGAGTAAGGCGGAAAGGGATGAAAGAGGGGAGGATGGGAATGTGCTAGTACTGTTGTTGCCGCATCCTGCGCGTGGGATGTCGTATTTTGGGAAAATCCTCCTCTTCAAAGGTGACCCGCACGCACACCGTTCACCAGGGGTCACCGATTGCGAGCGTGCCGCATTTGACCGCGTTCATTCTCACTATGAACGTTCGTGCGCCTTCGCGAAGCGACAAAAAGGAGACATACAGATCACCATGGAGGTGTAGGATGCGATGCACCCGTCCGAAGTGGGCTTCCGTGTTGCATCCACAACCCGCCATTGTTCACCCCGGTGGTCAACTCTCCGCGATGAGCCAACGTGGTAGGGATCCGACTTGCCTCCAGGTATATCCTACTCAGAACTCACATAGGACACTCACTAAGAAAGGGAAAGGATACCGATCCTGTCAGTATGCAGCGAGAGGCCGACCTCGCATAGCACCCTTGTGAAGAAAGCGTCCACTCCGCCACGTACCGGTTGATGTTGCATGGGCATTCAGGCAGTAAGCACAAAGAAGCGCCCTGGTTCGAGTGCCCAACATGCGGCACGAGCGAGGAGAACATGAGACTCGCCCAGGATGCTGGCGAAGGGAACGCATATGTAGACCCTGCAAGTGAGCTGTGCACAGAGAACAGATGAGGGAGGACTACTCACCGAGCTAGCCAAGATCGCGTCCTGGCTTGCGCCACAGCAGCAAGAGCCTCTTCGCCGCGTCTCGTCATATGAGGCGACAATGCATCAGGAAAACGTCACGGACTTGGACCCATACTTGGGCCCAAGTTCATGTACTTAGACTCAAGTCCGTGTACTTGGCCCCAAGTCCGTGTACTTGGCCCCAAGTCCGTGTACTTGGCCCCAAGTCCGTGTACTTGGCCCCAAGTCCATGTACTTGGTCCCAAGTACACGGACTTGACCCAAGTCTATATACTTGGGGTACTTGGGGTACTTGGGCCACAACTTGGACTTTACATGTTGACTTCAGTATGCTCAGGCCTCAATTTGAGCAATTGGTGTTCTATCAGTCACACATCTTGTCACGGACGCTGGACAGACGCCCCTTTTTGCCACTCATTCCCCTCCCCTTGACGCCCACCTTCCATTTTCGGACCATTTCCTTTCTTAGCCCATCCCAGTTTGGACACTGCAGATACGTTCCCACACCCGCATGCTACGTTCCCGTGATCGCCATGCCTTTGCCTTTTCCTTCCCGCCCTTTGTTCTCCCTTTGTCATCTTCACTGCCTCGCTCTCGCGCCTTGTCTTTGGTTGCTAAGCAGCCCTTCTAGTATATAAGGACCCCCTTAGGCACTCCCTAGTCCCCATCCCGACCTCTTGGTCATTGGGACTAGGTGAGTGACCATAGCGTTGTATCTCCCTCCGATTGCTAATGTATAACTTGGTCATTGGGACTAGTCTGTCGCTGCCTGCGTGAAGACTAGCTTTCGTAGGTCTCGTGCCTTCGTGCCGACCTCCGCTCTGCCCTCGTCGAGTTTTCTGTCACGTTTATCCCTC